AAATATACTATTGTATTCATTATTTTTACTACAACTATTTTTAGTAAAACTGTTCCAATCATTTTAAATGTTATCCAATCATTAAAGTGAAGAAATAAATCGAAATGAAATAGGGTTTAACTTCCTAATGAAGATGGGCATACACCATGCAGTGTGCTACGGTCTACTCTTATTTCAATTTCATGTTCCAGCTCTCAAGGGTTCTTTTATACGCACATGACTTCAGTTTATCGTTCCATCCAATAATCAGACCCTCCGTCCTGTGCCAATGCCAAGGGGAAACCATGCTAGAAAAACCTGGTTAGCGAGCCAGCGCCTTACGCACCGATCCATCATCCACAGCCTTATTCGCTGAGTTACCACGGCATGGCTGCCTTCAAGTGAAGAGATAAAGCAATTAATTACACATCACAAATCAATTGATAATACCTGAAATCAGTTTAACTCCATTAGCTTTCTGTATATCTACAATAGTCTGAAAGGAAGCCAGTGGCTGGCCCCTAGCAGCCAACATGTATGCAGTCCTTATCAGCTTCCTGGAATAAGAAAAATAAATAGGCCTTATTAAATTTATCTGATTAATGTTTATAGTCATGACAGTTGGCCTTACATCAGTTAGTAGGAAGACAATTTAATGGCCATTAAAACTGACACTATTGTTGTTGTATTATCAAATGTTGGTACTATAAATATTATAATAGTTTCAAAACCTTAGAGTCTGAGGTTTCAGATACGGTACTATTACTTTTAATCAATATTGCTTTGAATCATTCATCCTCCATATGATACAGTTTAATGTAATTATAGAGTACTGTCAGGCCTTACCTGTAAGCATCCCTGGCTGCTGTTATTATCGATGTGTTGATTTTTGGTTGATTTGTTGTTGTGTTTTGTCCTGTCACAGTCAAGTTTAGTTGTTTCTCTAACTTTTCTAACTGCAGGCCCATCATGTGTACCTTAGACTCTAAATGGCAAAGCACGGTGTGTTTGGTGACAAATGTTGTGCCGGTTACATATTTCTGTAAATCGTGCACTGCCTGGCCCCGTACAGAAGAGGAAATTTTATTGCTGTGTTTGGCACAGGTTTTGCACCATACTTCAATCACCGTTTCAGTTCCTTGGTTGTTTGACGATTTGTACCCAATAACATCGCCCGTTTTCCAGTTTAAAAACGTTTTAAGTTGGACGGATGGCATGATGATTTATGGAAACGAATTACAATAGAATAACAATTTTAAATAATTCGTCTGCTAAATGCAGCCATTTTGCTGCGACCAAAGGGACCCCTATCGGCGAGGTGAGATAAGATAACGCTAGTAATGTCATTACATGATATTGATATAAGCGGCCCAATTATGCAGTGCGAGGCTCTATATTATATGGCCACAGATCACTAATTATTTCCCCATTGACTTTAATGTTAATTCTCGTCTCTTAGACCGGCTCTAACTTTTTCCCAAATTTTCGTTGGGTAGAACACTTTCTGCCACAGATGGAGCAACATGTGGCAAACACTTGCCCAAAAGCATGTATGAGGTTCACCATCAAAAACTTGAGATACACAAGTTGGAAGTAGAGACAAGTAAACATGCAATTTCCGGCCCTACATTTCAACGTAACCAACCTCACAACTCTTGTATCCTTCCGCCTCAAAATCATAAATATATACACCAAAACCTGGCAGAAAATGTATTTTCAAACCCTTTTTTTTCGATTCTACACCAAAAAGTCAACAAAAATCGCCATGCAAAAGGGGGAAAATGGGAAAGAGAGAGAGAGACTAAAAATAACTTTGGCCCTTGTTTCGTGGGTGACGGCGTAGAAATATTTGGTGAGCTGTGTCCTATATAGGGGTGAAACTTCAGGTATCACCAAAAGGCCCTTTTTATTTGCTTCCCTTGTGTTCTGGCAACATGCTGGTGAAAGGAAATCAAAATCAAAGAATAACTGCGAAAATGATGGCCCTTTAAGTATACATGCTGCTTTATGTACAGTGGTGCATCTCCGGTCCATGGGCCTTTTGTGCTAAAATTTAAAAATCTTTCTTATAAGGGGCAGTATTTGAGTTCTGCGAAAAAATTAGACAAGTTGCAAATAAACTACATAGAAAACATTCATAATTTGGAATTTTTTTCAAAAAAATAATTTTTTACTGCCATGTCATGAAAAATGTACAAAATTTACATGTAGCATCTTTCAAAATACCAATAATTTTCCACTTTTTTAAATATCCAGACTGGCAAGAAATATATTTTTAGAATCTGTGGACAATATGCAAACAGAAAAATTGCAAATCAGTTGCATTGATTGTAATATTAGAGATTTATACTCAAACATGTATCCCTACCCCTGAACATGCCACAGATTGAATCAATCTAATCTTTGGTTGCAGAACTAACATTATCAAAGGAATCTGTCTAACAGCTATGTTTTACCATCCCTGGCTAACATATGTGCATAGAAACTAAAATAGGTGTAATAAATATGAATTATGGTTTAAAATAGGCCTTGGTGAATGAAAAAAAATGCAATATTTAGTCTATGATCACTCCTCTCTAACAAAAGGGTCACAGATTACACATTTTTCACAAATTTGGGAATATTTCAATGTTTCCAACATCTCAAACCTCAGAGGCATCATATAAATTTTTATTGCAATCCTAGTGCTGAAGCAAGATGTCTGGATCTTTACATCAATTTCCTGAAAAAATGAAGTCAAAAAAGTGGTTATGACAGAATTGACAACAAAAAGGAGGCCTGAAAAGGAGCAAAATGTACATTTTATTGTTCTATAAGCAACATAAATGCAACAAACACCACAAATCCTAGATTTTGATAAAAAAATATTGAACATTAAACTGACATTTACAGATCTACACCAGTTTTGTACCAGGGTGTTTGACTTTAAATAAAAAAGGTTAGAAATCCTTGAAATGTACAAAAGAACCATTTCTTGGTGCAAAATAACATTCCTAGTCGCAATTCAACCACAAATTCCAATTTCTATCATTTAATTGTCAACTCGGGTGCAATTAAATCTCTCAAAACACATTAATAAAAAAGGGTGGGGCATTTATAGCCTCTCTAAACAGAATGATGGACTAAAAAATGTCTAGAAAGACTGGGATATTGCTTCCTACATGAAGGAAATGCAAGAATTTAATGTTTCTGAGAAGAAAAAAATGCTTATTCTGGGTAAAATAGTGGCAAAATTGAGCCAACTCCTGTTTTGAACATTTTGTACAAACCCATCTGCTGTACATTATTAACTGAGTGTGACTAAATTTCAATTTTCTGTAGGAAAGCTGGAGCTATTTCTAAACCTGACAAACTTATAGATCCCATCTAAGTTATATTAGCAATGAAAATAAGGGCATTTTTAGACATTTTGACTCATTTGAGTAGTCATGAAAGCATTAATTTCTACCTCGAAATGGGAGAATCTGGAGATTTTCTGTGAATATTCCTGATTTTTAGACAAAATTAGGTGAAATTACAATACTGTTCACTTTGTCTGTGCTCTCTGAGGCTGAATAAGCCAAAATTGGACATTAAAATATTTTCCTTACAGTTAGAAATTAAATAAAAACTGAAAATTGAGAAATTTGCAGTAAAATCACAATTTTCCGCCAAAATCGATAATTTCTTTTAAGATTTAACTTTTTTTTTAGTTTTTCTGTACTCAAAATATTTTATACATATTTTCTGATAATTTAGTCTTCATATTTTCAAAATTAAGGCATGTCAGTCACAGCCTTGTTATACACAGACAGGCCACAGATCACTAATTATTTCCCCATTGACTTTAATGTTAATTCTCGTCTCTTAGACCGGCTCTAACTTTTTCCCAAATTTTCGTTGGGTAGAACGCTTTCTGCCACAGATGGAGCAACATGTGGCAAACTCTTGCCCAAAAGCATGTATGAGGTTCACCATGAAAAACTTGAGATACACAAGTTGGAAGTAGAGACAAGTAAACATGCAATTTCCGGCCCTAAATTTCAACGTAACCAACCTCACAACTCTTGTATCCTTCCGCCTCAAAATCATGAATATTCACCAAAACCTGGCAGAAAATGTATTTTCAAACCCTTTTTTTCGATTCTACACCAAAAAGTCAACAAAAATCGCCATGCAAAAAGGGGAAAAAGGGAAAGGGAGAGAGAGACTAAAAATAACTTTGGCCCTTGTTTCGTGGGTGACGGCGTAGAAATATTTGGTGAGCTGTGTCCTATATCAATTGGCTAACCGAAGCACTCCAAATGCATGAGCTGCTTATATCAACGTAGGGTCATAAAATGACCCATGTGATCGACCGTATTCAAACTAGTGTTTTCGTCGATAACGACTAGGAATACCATGGAGATTCAATTCAATGAGTTGGTTATTTTTGGATGGCTCTCAGGATTCGAAAGGAGCGCTTATATTATTGACGCGAAATATAGGTGCGCGATGGAGCTCGAGCGCGATCGCGCTCCTAAAAAAGCAAGGCCTGGAAATGTAAGTTTATATCCCAAAGATCTCGGTTCCTTTCGATATTCACGCATATCGGATTAATGAGGTATAATGATTAATATTTGAACAGTGATCAGGAAATTAAATACTAGTAAATTGGACACTCATTATCAAAATTAATCAGCAGCTTTAAACTGGACACATGTACAAATTAAACGATTTATGGTGATTTTAAACAGTTTTTACAAATTTTTAAACAAAGATTTGATATTAAACGAATGTGAAAGAAATTAGTGCTAGATACACAAGATTAAACGATACCTGGGTTACAGTGTTACTCGAACAGGATGTTGGTTAGGGACACCCTTACATTTTGTCCGATGGGTGTTTTTCAGGGAATCCATTATTTTTCTAGTAAGATTTATTGAAATATACCAATTTGTCATACTTTTATTGGAAATAACTACCTAATTATTATTTAGTGGTAATGTATCTTTAATGTGCATGAAATAATTTATTACAGAAAATTTTTTGTTTTATTAAAGATATGATGCAGATATAGATCGATGGAAAAATATAGCATCAATGTCAACTAAGAGAATAGGAGTGGGGTGTGCTGTAGTAAATAGACTATTGTTCGCAGTGGGAGGTTATGATGGGCAAAATAGATTGCGCAGTGTAGAACGATACAATCCAGAAAGAGATGAATGGAATTTTGTAGCACCAATGAATACAATGAGAAGTGGTGCGGGTAGGTATCATCTGCCATTCTGGGGTTTATGGACCTGTTATTATAAGTCCAACCTTCGACGATGGGTTGTATGTTCAGTGTAGTTGGGGGTGTAAGTTGTAAGACTGATCATACAATAATTGAACAACTCACTTCTTCTTGGTATAGTTCTATGTTCTTGTAACAATACTCAACAGTAATAATATATGTAGAGTCCAGGGGAAGAACGATCTAAGTCACATTTTTATACCCCCACATTTAAATGTGGTCGTATATTGTCGTCGCCCCCGTCCGTCCGGCGTCCACAATTGCCTCCAGAGGCTAAAGTTAATATCCGATTGGCTTTAAATTCATACACAGTGTTTAAGGTCATGAGACGAAAAAGCCTATTGATTTTCAGCGATTTCCGATAATTACTGCCAGAGTTATGGCCTTTGATCACTTCAAAGGTCAAAGTTAATATCCGATTGATCCTAAATTTATACACAGTGTTTAAGGTCATGAGATGAAGAAGCCTATCGATTTTCAGCGATTTCCGATAATTACTGCCAGAGTTATGGCCCTTGATCACTTTGAAAAATCTTGTGGACGCTCTAGAGGCCAAAGTTAATATCCGATTGACTTTAAATTTATAATCAGATTTTAGTGTAATACAGGGTTGTAAAAATCCACTAGCCCGACGCCCGGGGCTACCAAAAATAACTTACGTGCTAGTGATCTAATTAGCCGTACTAGTCCTGGGCTAGTGCCCTTTCACTGGTTTGTGAATTAAACTAGTGACGATATATAGATAAATAAACTGTAAAACATCCCACATTTATTTCTCAAATTCCAAGGAAAACTCAATCATAACAATAGATTTTCTGTAGTAAAACTTAGAGCCATATGGAAATTTTTTCTACCCCTTCTATTCATTCATTATTGACATTTCATTTCTCCATCTTGCACGCTTTGACAGGACACGTATAAACCAGTTGAAATCAGGTTGATTTAAAAACAAAAGACTCACTTACACTTTATATTAGATTAGTTCTGACATAAATATTTGAAAGCATACCTTTGTATATTTAAATACAAGATAATTTTGATTATTTAACATGTCCGGTATTTCCAAAGAATTTACTACACGTGTTCATTACACACACGCCATGATGAATGGTTCCAGTGACCCGTGTGTCATCAACTTTGACCCTATCGCACAGCAGCATGGCACTAGTGATAACATAAACAATTTTACTATCCTGTCTATTTTAATTTTATATCAGCACATCAAACTGATTTGTTTCATTTTGAGACTCTTTATAGAGTGACCAGGTAAATAAATACGGTAAAACAATTAACTTGTCAATCAGTCGAGGCTCTCTTGGGCTTTGCAGTAAGTGCTAATAATCACGTAACATATACATATCATAATTTACCGTGATATATTATAAATGACATGTGCTATATATGAAGTATTTATATGGTCTTTAGTGAAAGAAAACATTGTTGTGGCAACCATTCCTGGTTTTGAAGGTCAGATATGATATGAAAACGAATATCGGATTGTAGTTTTTTGAACCGTTTCACCAGTGCAACCGATCCGTGAGCGGTTAACCGAGTAGCGTATACATCCTTAATTATTAGGCAATCAAGTCTACGATCTTTATTAAAAACAATAGGTTGGCAGGCAACAAAACATATGCCAAAATATTGAAGATTAAATCTTGTACCTTGTCAAACTATGGACTAGTGGATATTAATGTCGGGCTAGTGCCTGACAGTGGACTACTAGCCCTGGGCTAGTGGATTCAAAAAATTTTTTACACCCCTGGTGTAATATAAATGTGGTCGACTACCCTCAATCTACAATTAATAATTATATATATTCAGGCTTCGAAATTAGCGGACGCAAAGATGCAAAAAGCGTGCTAAAATATGAAAATAGCGTGTTAGATTTGAACTAAAACGAAAAGTTTTGCATCTACGGTAATTAGTCTAAAAAGCAAATTTTAAAACTTGAATTTTTCTATAGCTTAATTCTGTTAAAAGGTTGAAAATGTCTACGATAAAATTGTACGTAAGACGCCATTTTGCGTATAGACTCACTTTCCTTTAACAAACTCCGAGTCTCAACGAAGAGACCAGATATAATCGGCCAGGCGTAACTTAACCAATGAAATAACAATACGTCACCTTCCTGACAAATAATATATGCAAAACTGAAACCATGTGATATTATTGACCAATCATGTTATCCCTAACTGTGTTGACCCTAAGAAGGCGAACAGGTCATTTCACATGGTTTACGCAGCCGTAACTAAAATACTACTGACGTAGTATTTGGTCTAAACTATGATTACCACATTTTGTAAACGCAAAAACCAATAAAATACACATTTGTGAATAAGTGGTGGTTAAATGGACAAAGGTCCAAACGATCAAATTCTGTTCCAATACTTCCATTTGGCACCAGGTAGAATAATGTTGTATTAATTTTAGATTTACAACTAGAATTACTGAAAGTTTTTGCTTGTTACACTTTGTTTTTGCTTCTAATTTTAAAAATAACAAGCAAAAAATTGGTTCTGGTATTGGAAATAAGATTTGAACCCTCTATATTTAAACTTATTAAAATTTGTCCTCCGCCATTCGAAGAAAGCAGGGGACTATTAAAATGGGTTCTTCTGTCTGTCCGTCACACTTTTTGGGACACAATAACTCTCTTTCTAATTGAGCTAGAATGTTCAAACTTGGTGTAGGTATTTATTAGGTCAATGCCTTGATGGAGTTCGATGATGAACATTTTCTGCTTAGGGTAAGCAGAGTGATAAGCAATTTGATTGGTCGAGACTTTGGAACATAATAACTCTCATTCTAATTGAGTTAGAATGTTCACACTTGGCGTAGGTGTCTATTAGGTCAATGCCTTGATTAGAATTTTCAGCTTTTTTTAACCAGAGATAAGCAATTTGATTGGTTGATGCTTTGGGACACGATAACTTTAGTTCTAATAAATTGAGAGTGAGGACACTTGGTGTATAGCTTTATTACATCAATATCTTGACTAAGTTCGATAATGAAAATATTCTGCTGAGGGTAAGCAGAGCGATAAGCAATTTGATTGGTCGAGACTTTGGAACACAATAACTCTCCTTCTAATTGAGGTAGAAAGTTCAAACTTGGTGTAGACGTTCATTAGGTGAATGCCTTGATGAAGTTCGATGATGAACCTTGCTTACGGTAAGCAGATATAAGCAATCTGATTGGTTGATGCTTTGGGGCATAACTTTGGTTGTAATGAAGTGAGAGTGATGAAACTCAGAATATAGATTCATAATATCATTACCTTGACTAAGTTCGATGGTGAGAATTTTCTGTTTAGGCTAAGTAGCGATAAGCAATTTGATTGTTCAAGACTTTGGAACATAACAACTCTGCTTTTAATTGAGGTAGAATGGTTAAACTTGATGTAGATGTTCATTAGGTGAATGTCTTGACTAAGTTCAATGATGATTAACATTTCGATCTGAAGCTAAGCAGAACTAATCAATTTCATAGGTCTATGGTTTGGGACAAGATAATCTTGATTCTGTCTGGTAGAGGGGGATGAAACTTAGTGTACAGTTTGATTGCTCGATACTTTTGAAAAAAAAATAAATGTGTGATTAATTAAACATGCATTATGCAAGAGCTAAATCTGCCTATTGCAGGGTTTCTTTAGGCCTGAAATGTTTTCTAAAGTATGAATTAGACATTAATTAACCGATCCAGGCCTTAATCAACTCTCGATGGCATCAGATTTCTCCGATATTAAATAGATTAGAATGGTTCAGCGATACTTTGATGTAATCAAATATGGAAGACCGAGACTTAGCTTCGATCAACCAGTATTGTGGTTGAAATTATTGCACACGTCTATCAAACCTTCAAAGGCTAATATCTTCACTTGCAATGGAGTAATTTGAATGAAATTTTCAAATTATTCATTTTACATCATCTAATTTCGAACTATTATAGCAAGAATGGCTAGTTCTTTATCTAAATCTTACATAATGTATCTTTAATATGTGTCATCTATTTATTTTGGGATGACATAGCCTCACTGTTGGCTTATTTATAGTTGTTAAGGGGTAGTATTTAAGTGACATCCATTCATTTATTTACTAACTAGGTGACTATTTGGGCCTTGATTATGTAAGTTTTATAAATGGATTATCTCATTAAGCAGTAATGACCGGTTTCACTGCTGCCATGTTACCCTTGAACTTATGTCACTTCCGGTACCAATGAAAGTGTTAACATATTTCCACACAAGCATTACACACTGTTATAAAATGGACACAGAATCAACCATATCCAGCACTATCAATTCCATTTATACATTTGTTATGATGTGTTAGATATGTCAATAAAGTAATCTGTCAAAATTTGTTACTAACTTACCGCCAAGTTAGCTAATGAGACTTTCTAATGGGAAATTAAAATGCCCAAAAAAATCGTAAAAAGTGACCCTGACAAAATTGGTTATTTCTCAGTAACGGAAGAAGTTAGAAGCAATTTTTTGATATCTATAGTATCGTATTAAATCATTCTATATATTGAATGGAGTTGAATATCATAATTTTAAAGGAATATTGAATAGCACTCATTTGAAGAAGATATTTGTTTTAAAGGCTGAAAATACAATTTTTGTCAAAATGTTGTCATTTCCAATAAAAATAATTGGCTGCTATCAAATCCAACTTTTAAATTATATACGATGAGCTTTTTCACATTACTTCATTACTCGCACTTTTAGTTAATCTAAATCAATACAGTACAGTGTCATAAATCACTCCAAGGTGCGCTTAACGGTAAGTCGCGTGGTCAGAAACGCAGGAAAAGATTGGGACTATATTCTTACGCTGCTTTATTCGGCGAAAAGTATTTAGCAAATCTTGACTGTCACTGGTATATGATAATAATGTATTATGACGCATTAAAACGGGATGGATCGGAGGGGGGTACACTGTGAAGGTCACAAAAGTGACAGCGTCATG